CCCAAAAAAAAATACATAGCGCCGATACTGGCGCTTTACATTTTTTTATAGATTTGGCTGCCTGAGGTCCCACATTTGCTGGGGACCTCAGACAGTCTACTGCGGACCTCATGCGGCAGCTGTCCATGACAGTGCCAGTCCGGCCGCACATCTCTTCCTCCTTCTTCCTGAGACCGGCAAAGCACAGGACACCCCTTCATGTTGTCAGGCCATGGTGTACTCGTCAGAACAGGACTTGCTAGCAAAAAAGATGCCAGGACTCATCCGTTCGTCCCCAACCCAGATTGGGTATTACGAATTAGAGGGACCATTGACAAGGGCAACTTCACCATGGTGAAACTGGTCACACACATTGTTAGGGGGGGGGATGCAGATCACCTGAGTCACCTGAGTCAAGGGGGAAAGGGATGCAGGGGACAAAAGTCTGATTCATGGAGGTTTTGTGGGGGCTCTGGAGGAAGCTGATCAGGAGATGCAGTTTGTCTTGTGGGGGCCCTATTCATCAAGGGGGATCCTGTCTGCCAGGCTCATTCCTTAGGTTCTTCATGGAAAATGGTCTTGTAAAAACACTCATCCACTGTGTGTGTGGTGTTGGGGAGAAGAGTGACGTTTGCTCAGTCAGTGCTGTCGTGGTGGCCAGTGTCACTTGTCTGTCACAGTTAGTCCAGGAAGGTGTCACAATCCGAGCCCAGGGGGTGTTTGTGTGACCTGTTTATCATCCTGAACCTGTATTGACTGCACTGTCAGCCAATAGGAGGGGGTGTTCTGATCACTGTAGTCTATTGCAGGTTGCCATTCTCCATTGCTGAATAATCATGGATTATTCATGTGGTGTCACAAGGGGGTTTCTTCATAATTATAAAGAAATTGCCCTAAAATCATTAGGTCTGTATTGTTTTAGAAAAAATTTCACATGTCCCTTTAAGAAAAAGTATCGGTAATTGGTATTGGCAAGTACTTGTACTTGGTCTTGAAAAAATAGTATCCTTGCATCCCTAGTTTTAGTTCTATAAAAAAAGATTTCATGAAGCTAGAGTTTAAAGAAGTCTGTATTAGGGTTGAAGAGTAAGTCTTTGCAAAATTCTTATTCATTTTATCATATTATAAACTATCATTATAGTTATTATTATTAGTGTTACTATAACTTTTATCCCCAGCACTGCTCCCTAGTAGTGTACTGACTCAGGGGCATCCCGAGGCTGGGTGTCACCCGGCACCCGGAATGGATACCGGGTGACACCCCCTGTGACATCATCATGCATGCGTGTGACGTCACCACATGCGTGCACAATGACGTCATCGTGCATGTGCAACCATCTTATTGATACCTGCCGGCAGCCATCTTGGTGATGGACGCTGGCAGAGAGAGGAGGGGACGTTCACCCGGTGGGATAAGGTATGCCGCTGTGTCCCTTCCTCTCTCCTGAATCTGTCGGGCTCTCATGACCGAGTGCCAGACTTTTTGGAGGGGGTGACACCAAAAGTCATTTTGGTGTCAACCCTCCAATGTTGTCACCCAGGTGCGGCCCGCACCCCCCTTGTGAGGCCACTGTACTGACAGCTCTCCTGGTGCCTGTCCTTGATATATACTTCATGTTAATGTCACAGTTCATGTCACAGTTTACACTGCCAGCTGCTACAGAGAGAGTTAGCCAGGGGGCCCCAAAGTTTTGCTCTGAAGCCCCATGATTTGTTGTTAAACCCCTGAAAAGATGCATGCATATATTTAGTTAGGAGGCACAATGTACATTACAGAGGACCTTGCAGTACAAAGCATGTCCATCTACTTGTCCATGAAGATATGCCAGTCCATTGCAAGAATGTATTATTGCGAGATTTGGGCTGCTAGGTATTCCCCAGAATCTTTCCGTAAGGAGTATAACATAACTCGTACCTAGGCGCCAAGAGCAGAAGATAGGGCTAAGGTAAATCTAAAATCTAACTTTGTTCTTTATAGGTACCTTTTAGCACATACTAAAAGCGAATTACTTTGCCAGGGGGAGGGTCTCAGGTATTATATGTAGACCTTGCATTTTACTTTAATAGGTGACCAGAAATAAAAATAAATATGGAAAAGCCAGCAACATTTCTAAGTACAAAAACGTTCAAATATGGGACTGTCCACCAAGTAAAGGCATCAGGTGTGCACTTTGTAATGCAGTAGTCTCCATCCCAATCGTATTCTGGGATCTGGGGGGAATGTTATAACAGGTTTGCTTTCAGCATTTAAAGCAACCCTCTAATTTTTGTTTTCATTATGACCCACAAAAGTATTACTCGTTGCTCCATTTTATAGCAGGATGATACCAACCCTCTTTTCACGGAATATGAATACAAAAATGTGCAAAAATGACGGTTTATATGCTTAAGTTTAACTACTGGGTACATTTACTAAGCAGTGACCCTTACTAAAAGTTAGGTCGGATAATGATGTCCAATAATTACCATAGAGATGCTGAATTGCCAAGATATCATCCTGTGCCAAGTGACGTGTCCTTGTATTTGTAGCATTAGGATGCATTAGAGCAGCAATATCTTTTGAGTGCCACAATCCAAGAGCATGGCCAATTTCATGGGCTGCCACCTGGACTAGATCGTTGTACCATACACCTAATGACAGACAGATAAGACGCAGTGATAAACAGACAAAGGTAATTATACAGATAAATGGAAGAGTTGAGTAAACCAGGACACATAAAGAATGAGATGCACATAGACAGATGAGGTTTGGACTTTTGTCAAATATGTTGGTCACTCAGGAATATAAAGATTTAATAGGGATGAAGATATAATTAAGTAGTGTTAATTATACTTAAAACAATATTTTAAGAGCTGGTTTTGTCTAGGGGGCTCAAATAAAACAGATATGCTCACCTGGTCCTCGTCCCCACAGTGATCAGAGCTCATCTCTCTTGCTCAGGCTGTGGAGTGTCTCTCAGTGTCCTCACATCTAATGCAAGCCAAGGGACCTGCATTAGACATGATGACGTCAACAGTCCTTAGACCACTGTAGCCCAGGAGAGAAGAGGCTGCAGGACCTGGCCTAGCAGCCAGTAGCACCAAGGATCAGGTGAGTATATCTGCTTTATTTGAGCCCCTTTGACAAAACAAGCGCTTAACCCTTGCAGTGCAGGGGTAGACCCACTGTAAGGGTATATTTTAAAATTTACTGGAGAGCTCACTTTAGTTGCCCTGATGTTTTGGTCAAGAAAGAGGCAGAAAACTGGAGTCGACAGCAAATAGATTTCCTACTGACTGATGGAATTTACCTGAAGAGGTTCTGCAGGGAAGTGCAGAGCTTGTGAAACAATGCAACTAGCCAGTTTTGTTATATTGCAGTCAAATTATTTTTGGAAAGATGCTAGTCATCTAACAGAAAATGTTACTGAAACACACTTCACAAGAAGATGATTATGCATATGTTGATTTATCTGTATTCTCATTGTGATTATAATTGCTTTTGCTAAAAAGGCAGAGACACAATTTAACGGAAGAATAATTTAACTTAACTTATTAATTCCAATCAGGACAATGCTTTTTTTATTTTAATTTGGAGTTAACATTCAGTATTCAAATTGTTTTGACCATGTCAATATGCAGCAAAGGTACCACATTGTCATAGCAGATAAGGCCTTAGGTTTCAGATGAGCAGGAGCAGATCCATTACAAAAAGTGGGAGACTCAGCCAACCAGAGTCTGCCAATTTATTATGTGCCTTCGAAAATGTAGCATAGCTAAGAATACAGAACAAGTAACAGCTTGGACTCTTATATTCGGCAGCATCAATGTCCATACATGTCTCTATGTTGAGAAATTATGTTTAGCCATGTAGCAACGTGGTGGAAAAAGCTCATAGTAGAGAGACCAGTGTGGAAAGAAAGTAATTACCCTGCTTCCAGCTGAATCGCGAAGGGCCAAGTACCCAGAATTCATGGTTGTCAAAATGAATTTCTCCTCTGGGTGGTAGGAAAGCATGTGCCAATTCTCCATTGAGGCCATCAAAACAGGGGTGCAATGGAGAGCCCCAACAGTCACTGTGATTAAAGGTGTAAAACCCTGTAATATAATGTTACGGTGATTTAATAATACAAATGCATAGAGTGCCAAGTGATCCCCAATGCTCAGAGTAGTGGGGATCTGTAGTGACCTTAGAACAGTGCTAATTCTGTATGCCTGGTGGTGGCGTTGCTTCTTATTCCCTAATACCCATAAACAAACACAACATGAACCTAAACTTGCGCATATTCAGTTAATAAGAGACTATCAAAAGTGTGCCCGTTCATTGAATGGGCTGAATACGAAAGGGTACATCAGGACTCAGAGTGCACATTGGTACAGAGAGGGCAAGTGCAGAGGCAGGCATCAGTGTAGTGGTAAGTGAAGTGGAGGCACGCAAAAGAGGTTGTGAGAGCAGACAGGAAGGATGGGGGGTCAGACGCAGTGGTGAGAGTAGGGGTTGATGTGAAGGTGTAGTGTTTGGCAAGGAGATTGGGGGTCAGCTGTGGTA